TGAAATAACACTACCTTTTGTTGGTGTTGTTTTTTTTACGTATGTAGGTGGTGCTGTAAGCAACAATATTTGGATGCGCGAATCCCAAATTTCATTTTTTAACCACACTTAGCTAAGCAACTGGAACACTGCCTTTAAAGAATGACATCATAATATAATACTTATATCAGTGTTATAAAATTAACCTACTTATTACAACTAAATGCTACCAACCGGTTGTGATTTTATATGTTCAGTTAAGACGTATAAACCTTCTGCAACGAAGATCAATGACGGAAATTTACATAACTGACTTAGCTAAACTCTCGTATTTAGTGCAATTTTTACACTGTTTTTTTATATAGTGCATGTTTATTCAGACAAACGCAGCCAATATACAAATAACGTACAGAAGTAATGTTTCCAAAACTTTTTGTGACAGGGCAAAATTTATTTTCGGTAAGATAAATTAGTTGGCTGGACAAGCACTCGTAATATGAACAGCTGTCTTTGTAATAAGATTAGACAAACGCTTAATGAAATAAAGTAATTAGCTACTACGACTGGATATTTGAAAGATATTTTGTAGATTAAAAAACCCAATAAAATGTGTATTTAGGCGTAAATTAGCGTGAACTTATCTCTATAGTATATAATATTATTAGGAATAAGCTAAAGTGAAGGATCCAGAACTTCCTCGATAGTATCTATAATAAATAACAAATTATTGCCATGATTAATTAAGTTTCTCCGGCCGTCCTAAGCAAATAGTTTTAGCATCGGCAATATTACTTGGCGTCACAGGCATTCTTCATAAAGATAAAAATCCATCATTCTGCGTGATACATTGTTCTTTTATTGCTTTCTTGGGTATCTGCTTGTGCTATAATGTTGCTTGTGTAAAATCATAATGCAGACTTTCACTGTTTGGTGCAATGATGATAATCTAATCTAAATCATGTAATTTAATGATATTTAAAAGTGTATTCAACTCTGTGTCACTTGCATTTACTAAAAAATACAATGAGCTCGCAATCTATCTTCTATAATATAAAAATGAATCGCTGAATGTGTTGCTAAGTGCAAATCTCGAGAACAGCTAAACCGATTTCGATTATTCTTCTTTTAGAATATTCCTTGAGGTACGAGGATGGTTTTTACGCAGAGTGAAATTAAAAAAAAAAGCCTGAAAATATCCAAAAACAACACCTCTATATACTCCCATACAAACGATTCGAAGTCAATAAGAACTTTAATACCACCATAAATTTCAAATGTTACTGGAGAGATTCTGGGAAGACAAAACAATTGAACGACGTGATGTCAATAGAAGTTTGGAAAAGGCAAATATACCACTTTCAGTTTTATTTATAATTACTTATATGAAGAGTCATTGAAATCTACACTACAGCTCTACATCGAAGCGAAGCGAAGGCGGGCCACTAGTTACTCAATAAAAATAAGCAGGTTATATTGCAGCTAACAGCCACGCTTACGCAAATGCCTCCACGGGCTAACTTTTCTTTGCCACCTCAAAGGAAATGAACCTATACCGACAAGTTCCTAACATTTTCACATCAACCATGGTTTTCCGATAAGTTACTAATGTCACGGTATCAGTTCTCTTCAGCGAAGCATAGTGTGCACTTTCTTGGTCAATTTCACGCCGCCCGCGCACCCATGATGTCTCGATGGCGACGATTTCTCCACGACACTCCCGGTGGACTACCCAGTAGCTGATTATGATAATATATTGTTACTCATTATCTAGTCAGTTTAAAATGATTCATGCAGGAAGGTTAAAGAGAAATATTATCACAGACACAATATCTAGAGATGTCCTATTATTTTTATGTAATTAATGTACAATTTTAAATCTGGGACGGCACAGCCGGTTTAGCGCTCCCATTTGGGTGCACGATTTATGTGGTTTATGACCAGACCACACAGTTGTTATTATGGATCACAGTCGCATCTTTGACACTCAACTTCTACGCAAATGTCAGAAGAATCATATGTATGACGTCATCAGATATAAAAACTTAGTTTGCCTGCCTTAAGCTTAGTATAGTTTGTTATCGGGCTTGAATTTACAAACCATCCAAGAAAATCAGACAGATAGACGCGACCTAAAAGTTCCTTTTTAAGTGCCTATTTTCCACTCCACTCCTGACACCAATATCAGAAGAATCATGTGTATGACGTCATCAGATATAAAAACTTAGTTTGCCTGCCTTAAGCTTAGGTGTAGTTTGTTTCCGGGCTTGAATTTATAAACCATCCGTGAAAATCAGACAGATAGACGCGACCAAAAGTTCCTTTTTAAGTGCCTTTTTTTCACTCCTCTCCTGACACCACCATTAAACAAATACAGAGGCCAGTTTGTAAAAAAAATAGGACATTGAACTTTTTTACTTACTATAATTTGTGGCACACATAACAAAAGACAATAGATAAAATACATACATACCCACGATTAACTTTGTTGGAAACAAAATTACCTACTGCTTACAATCTAACGAATCCGAAGTGCGTTTATTTGCTTCAACAAACGGCCTAGATGTTGTAATAAGTATTGGTGAAGGTCAAAAGTTGGTCATAATTTAAAGCGAGTTGCAATGGCACTTTTGTTTTTATGGTGCCTTTTGCTGAGATAAACATATATAAATAAGGTCAATAGATTCGTTTCGGACGTAATTCGGTATCTAAGCGTATGTAATTTTCATGATGTGTCGCAGTTACATTCCAAGAGCGTAAACCATAGATAAATGATTGGTCTCGCTACACAAACGTATCAGTTCAATGTGCTTGTAAATATTTTTTGTATTTGTGATTTGAAATAAAATTATGACATTTTCAATGCAAACATATTCCACATTAAATTTAACACCTTTTAATCCATATTTACGAATGTTTTGATCTAAATGGACTTAAATTCGTGATAAATGAAAAACTTAGCTACTCGCGAGAGTACATACATGATGGTTCACATTTTAAATACAACAATTATTGATCTACTTTAGTCGCTTTTGTTAATACCCCTTTTCTATGCGTTCTCTCCTGTGGAGCTATCTCTAACTCTTCCCTCTTTGGGATGTAGTTTTTATTCCTTTGGCAAATACTTACCTATTATTGAAAAAGTTCTGTGTATAAGGGGAACAGAAGCTTCACTATTTGCTTTTTATGAGCAAAGTGCAGCAAATTTGCCCACCTTGAAGTCAATTATGTCTATGGCTGATGTGACACTAAAATAATCCATGCATCATCATCATCATCAGCCTATTAATGTCCCCATTGCTGGGGCACAGGCCTTCCCTATGGATGGAATAGGGAGATTGGGCCATGACCCGCCACGCGGGCCCAGTGCGGATTGGCGGGTGCTAACGACTGCAGATGCAGCCGGGACCAACGGCTTAACGTGCCTTCCGAAGCACGGAGGAACGTAGAAGTTTTTGGTCATCCATCCAATGACCGACCACTGCGAAAGTTGCTTAACTTCAACCATCGCAGCCGAACGCGCTAACCACCTGCGCCATCGAGCTCCTCCTAAGATAATTATTTCGCTCCATCTATGTAACATTATTTACTGACAGAAACATTACACCACTTACTACTTTCACGATGCGGATGCTACAATTTGAAAAATAAGCCTTTTATCTTTTTTCAATGTATTTTATCAGTAGTGAAACAATAGACCTACTCAAATAAAGACATTCAAAAGGCAGGCATCGACAGGCTATTAATGTTATTGAAAAATAGGGCGTTGATCACGATGTACACAAATGTAAAGCGCATTACATGAAACGTTGTGCAAGTAATTCCATGATCTATTATTTAAAAGTTTATTTTAAATTAAACTCATACGAGTTATGAAAAAACGCATATTAATTATAATAAAAAAAACGCAAAGAATAATATAATACCATAAGCGTACAAATAGCTTACCTCACGTAACAATTATGGTGCTTTACCTACTATCGGATCTAACAATGAAATTAAATAATTACCGCCGAGTCATTACAACAATATTTCCTTCTTTCTCCTGTACCGGATGGTGTTATCAGATGTACCTACCTTGACTCATCGACAGAAAGCATGTTGAAATCTCGTGTTATCACAAACCATTTAGTAAATAATTAAGATTTTTCTTTGTTTTAATTTTATTTTAAATATAAAAATCGAATTAAATCGAATCGCATAAATAATAATACTTACTCATTTTTTTTAATAAAAACAAACTTTTTATGTCAAAATCTTGAGAGCGCTTTATAAGACAAAAGTTTTCACTCACAACTTAGTTTGTTTTCTTACTTCCATTCTGGACAGGGAGTGATTGAAAATAATATAGACCAGATACCAACGCTCCAATTAAAATAAAATTGTTGTTTCATGTAAGTAAAAATAAAATTTTAAATATATATATAATGTACAACAACATGAGATGAAAAGAATGAATAATTATTAAAATTATTATTAAAATAATTAATTATTAAAATTAAATTAAAAATTCTTAATTATTAAATACAATGACTTAGTCTTAGAATCTCAGACGTGTCTTCTACAGTCAGAGCATCTTCAAAAACTTTACGGGACTGGCTGATATAATAGGTTGTTTTATTCCAAGCTAACATACTGTGAGTCTAACCAAAACCAGCCAGTGTGGCATAGAATTTAGTAAGTATGTAAAAAAAAACGAATAACCACTCAACTATTGTCTGTACGATAGTTATTTTAATTGTCGAATAGCATAAGCAGTTACTGCAAAGAAGTTGGGTGATAGTTATGCTGAATGAAGTCCAGTCGAAATACTTATTGCATACTTTGCCTCAATTATTGGTTACGTACGTAGGCAAGTGCGTGACTTACATCAGGATCAGTTAGCATCGTATCATACAAGGATGGAACGTATCGGTTTGCTGATTAAAAGCTACGAACGATCCATCCAGTGCTTACTTTGACATTATTTAAATTAAAGTGCTTCGTGTCCATGTTGTGTCTAATGATTCATTAATTTGTTTCAGCTCTGGGAAGCGGCAAATTGGCTCCAATGTCTTAGCAAGGTAAAAATTTGTTTAATTATTTTAATTTTAATTGCTGCACATAATGCCTTTAAAGATCGTTAAGCTGTTGGCCGGTGGACAGAATTTAAAGCGCCATCTACAACCATAGCTTTTATTTTACAGCGCCATCTACCCAAACTATGTTTAACTAACTTGCCCTACGTTAACCCACTACGACTTCTCATTGCACATGGGAGTGCTACGGATAAGAACTAGATGGCGCTACATGTACCGCTCGCTCTAACTAAAGTATTATCGTCGGTAATTTAGGAGATTAATTTATCTAATAAAGGTGAAAATTGGTGATGATGATTGTTTGTTCCAGCCAATTGTACCGGTCGTCGTCATTCAACTCCTCTGGCTGCGGGTCGGGAGGGGAGCCAGCAGACGACATGTACTCCGATGTTTCATTAGAGGAAGACGTCCAAGGTCTCAATTACAAGGTATGTTATTTTTTTCTTATTTAGGTTTAGTACTAGAGATAATCTATTGTACACGAAATACGATCTAACGATAAGAAATTATTACAGTTCATAACCTGTCTACTTACTATTTTCCATCCATAAAACGAACCTTATTATTTGTTTTTTTTAGCCAATATCCAAATAATTACGGGCAGCCTTGTTTATTATATTTACTTCATGATTTTACCCCAATTGTTTCGTTTACCAACTACTAATTTTAGGTATAAAATATAGTATTCTCTCTTCCTCCTAGTAAGGAGATCAAGCCCAAACAGTTATTACTAAAAGTAGCAGACCACAAACTTGTTCTGCTGTACATAATTATTTTTTGACTTGGGAAGAATTATAAGATCTTGGGCCTACACTTTATAAAGTATAATTGTTTGAAATATTACATCAAACTAAACGTTGCGATATCCGAAAATATATTTTTACTACCTATACGTGTTAGTGCTTACTCTACTTATATAAGTATCGTGCTAGTTGTGTTGTGAGAGTGTCATTGTTCGCTTGAAAGGGTTTTTATAAAGTTATATGAGCATCCTTCCGGTTTAGTAACGCGTTATACACTCAGATCAAATAAAAAGTATTATACAGTGACTCAATATCGATACGATGGTTAAGGAAGTTCCGCTCCCACAAAGAATGATGAATAGATCACGGGTAGTTGGGTTCAGCTAAGCTGTCGACTACGCACTAGAGCAAACAAAATAATCAGAATATTTTTATTATTTCGAAGTTCTTACAAAATGCTCCAATTAATCCTGTCAAGTGCAAATGGTAAGTGACACGAAGGGCGTAATATTAAACGGAATTTATTTTAACCAAATTATGTTGAATGAATAACGTCGTAAATTTGCTTAATTATGGTCTCTTTGACTTTTAATTTTTACTTATGGGTAAGTATTCGGCCTTATGGGGTATTGATAGAAATACACTCTATGTGGGGCCCAAGCACGGATTTTGATAGCCCCGTGTAATCATATCGTTATCGTCTTTATTATGGAAGGATCCAGTTTGTTCTTACGTCCGGTAGGCTTAGTTAGGCTCTGCTTAGTTTTCATAGAAACTTTGACAATGCGATACGATTATGGAGCTGTCAAAATTTGTGCTTGGGCCTTTACGTTAAAGTACTATTTGGTCTACCTACCTATTGCAATTGATGTGATGCATGCAGCCCAACGCAGTGTTGCCAGGCGGACCAACAGCGGTAGTTGAGTAGATAAAGAGATTCCGATTACTTTTGTTTCTGGCTTAGAAGTTTGATTTTCTCACAGCTCCAAGGGACAGTAGATCTGAGCATTGGATATAAATTTCAGCTTGATACCTCCACGTGTTCCTGAGAAAAAGGGACTTGACAGACGGACGGACGGACAGCAAAGTGATCCTATTAGGGTTCCGTTTTTTCCTTTCGAAGTACAGAACCCTAAAAATATAGGAAAACGCTCGACTCTGGTACCACAAACAATTGTATATTCTTCATTATAAATGGCCTGACTAGCACGATCATTTCTCCGTTGATACAAGAGTCATATTATACTGTTAGACATACCTATAATGAATTTCTAAGTAGCTTACAACTTAAAAAGTACCCTCGGTACTTAGAAGTATTAGAAGAGCAGTTTAATTTTAATACGCTTAATTCTGCCCCGCCACCACGAGTGTATTTAAGTCTTGTAGTGTCGCTTTACTTTAACAAGATCAACTGTCAGATGGTGATGGCAACAAGATTAGCCCACATGCATTTTACGAGGCCGATGTCCACTAGGCTGATTATATAACAACAAACGAGTTTATAAAGATACCCACTTATCTATATAAAATGAAGCCATATAAGGGTGATAAATTCGTCACCATATCGGAGAACAGAGTTCGAGTTAGTATTTTAGCTGATACACGATACAGCAATCCGTTTAAGCGTAGTTGGTTAGCGTAGCGCGTTCGATCCACATTCGTGGAAGTCACAGTATGAACTACCAAAGGAGATTGCTCAGCTTCCATACATGTTTGGCCTAAAGACCAATAATCATGAAAAATTGTTTCCTAGATTCGAAATTATATATAAATTACTGTAGAAACGAATATTATTGACGGACACCCCTATAAACTATAAACCATATACACTGAATGTTTTGGAGGTTGTTTGCAAATAGGTTCATAGGTATTAAAATAATAAAAAAAAAAAAGTAACGAAATTATGTATTAGATTCAGGTATACAAAGCATGTAGATTAATAGATAGTTGCCTGTTTTTAAAGTGAATGCATAAGAGTAACTTTTAAAATCAGGTACCATCTATGCATTTCCGGTTTAATAAGGTACTCTGTGACAGAAAATGTGTGTTATATCTTGTGAATGAGCCACAGATTAGAGAGATTTTTTAAACTCTCGTTAACTAAAGAAAGCTTAGATTTTTAGTGTATCACACCTTATAATGTGTTTATGGAGGTGTTTGGCGAAAAATGTATGGCAATAGACTTTATGATGTCGCCTACCATCTATAATATTTGTCTTAGCACATTTGCATGTAGTAAAAATTATAATATTCTTGAGGATATTAATACCACAGTGTAATAAAAAAAAAATATCGATCTTTACATAATAGATTTGTTTTGATGTTATATAAACAACTTCGATCACTCTTTGGCTGTTACTACACCCATAGCCATTAAAAATGATTCGTATGTTTTCCAAACCGATAAAAATATAAGTCCTTTTTAAAATGAATATATTATAGAAAGGTGTCCGAAATGTAATGACTGTAAAATAAAGTATAAATTACGCCAAGAATTACCGTATATGTCAATATTTTTTGTAAATTTGGGCCAATTTGAGCAATCTCCTTTAATATCCCGTGCTATGCCGGAAGGCACTGTAAGCCGTTGGTCCCAGCTGCATTTGCAGTCATTTGCACAGAAAAGGTTTGCGTAATGAATCATGCATCTCCTAATCGCCCTATTTCATCCGTGGAAAACGTCTGTAGTGGGGACATTCATAAGCAGATGATGATGCCTATACCCATTTAGGTAAACGGCAAAAACTATATCAAAGGTGATAATACAGGCTTAGAATAAAGGTTTTACCTTGAATGTTTAAAGTTTTATGGGTACCTAATTGTTTGTCATTATTAATTAAATACCTACCAATGAAGCTAAGCTAAATCTGAATTTAAATAAATTCATAACGTAATAAAGCACTCCAGCAAAAAAAAATACGTATTACGTTGTTAATATCAGAGGTATATTAACTCAATCTGATGTACATACTATGATATTTTATATCCATTTATTGGAATCTGCGTGAATTAAGAAGATCGAGGAAAGTCTATGTCTTTGTCATAATTTCTTATTTTATCCGATTATTATTAATGTTGTTCATAGTTATAGTACAAGGTCGCTCTGGCAGTTCGCCAATGCTAAGAATATTGCCCCGTGTATTTGCGAGAAGAACTAAACAATATGCAAAATAATCTATTTTCAGATTTTATAAGTTTTCACTATCTTTTTGCTTATCTATAGTAAGAAATTAAAGTATATGTATCTCCTTTATAAATTAACGTGCGACAATATTAAAAACCACACTTAAAAAAAACAAAAGCATTCGTCAATACAAGATTATTAGTTAAACATCCTGGATCTTTTTTTAATGTAATATCTAAGTAGGTAAAAAAAAACGTCTGCTTAACATTCAACTAGCCGCTATCAATATCCTAGTTCGACGACCTCATTTTATATTTAATTAAAACGTAAACGACGTATCACGACCAAAGGAAAGGAATAGACAACGCATAAACAATGGCCGCTCGCTTCATTGGGCGCGCGCGTTCCCGGTACCTCATTGAATGACCCCCGGAAATGGTCCCTCGACCGCCGCGTGCACCGTTTCCGGTCAGATGTGCGTCTTATTTTAATAAAATACTAAAAACGTTATGCTAATGTTTGATTAATTTTGCGAACTTGAATACTTTAATCTTTTATTGACTATTTGTTTACAACTACAATAAGAAGAAGCGTTATATCACATTAAATGAATCAACCGGTACGTATTCCATGACTTAACAAGATACATTGTACTTTTAACCTAAACTTCAACTCAAAAATACTTAGATAAATGTTGGTATTTCTAACTTAATTATTGCGTGTCAATAAGCAATTCCCATATATAAGCACTTCTGTCTTGTAGTAAATATTTTATCGCTATACTGACTTTATATTTATTTATGAAAGACAACTACTTACCATAAATTTCCATTAAGTATCTTGTCGTCTGGTTACCTAATAATACGGTAGTTCTTCATTCTTTACTTTACCGAAACCAAACCATTTACTTACCTGCTATTTGTTTTTCTTTTTGCATGAATGAAAGCTTTTTCTACAGATTAATTACTTACTTAATATTAATCAATATTTTAATAATGTTTTACTGATGTTTTATTACTCTACGTTTCCTTAATATTTTTTTCTAAATATATCATTAACTCTGCTAGCTAACTAGTGTAGTGTTTGTTTTTGGACAGGGCGTTGCTGTACCTCTGACACTGACATTCATACTACTGACACATGTAGGACAGCTGTTTTGTCTATGATATCGAACACTTATACCTATCATTACACTAGTTGGGTGGTGTAGTGGGTGCCCGGGACTTCGTCTGCGTCTGCGGGGTGCTAACGACTGTAGATGCAACCAAGCACGGCCACCAAGGCTTAACGAAGCACGAAGGAATTATCGAAATAATATATTTTGGCTCACTCATCCTAATAGCGACCCATCCTAAAAGATGTTTAACTTCTAAAATCGCAGACCAAACGTGCTTACCACCATCGCACTTCCTTACAAAATTATTAGTTTGTAGTATTCTTTCCTAAAGACTCTCTACAATTCAAGCAAAAACTCCAAATATTTAAAATGTGTATCATACCAAGACTACGCAACCAGTTGCATTCAAAAGTATCTTCAGTCAATCATTAGCAACAAAGTCAA